CAAATACAGTTTGATAGAAAATCCGCCAAGTATGAATTATGAAATTTCTGTGAACAATACAGTCTTACTAGTATTCCTCCTTCCAGAAAAACTAAACCCAGTCGACAAATAAGTAAAAGTCGTTATTATTCTCGCAGGAAACACGCCTTTAGAAATAATGATGAAAGTAGAGAATTTTACAGTAAAAAGAAGTTTAGTTCGCGTAAAAATTGGTCAAAAGCACCGAAAAGGGAAAAGAATAATCGCTTTAAAAAAAATTCCGACAAAAGAAAAGTGAAATGTTATAAATGTCAGAAGTATGGTCACTATTCTAATGAGTGTAAAGTAAAAGACACAATCAAACAATTAAAAATTACGGATGAAGAAAAAGACAAGTTGATAAAATCTAGTTCTCCCCAAATTCAGCTTGGTTGTAAAGACAAATGCTGTAGTAGAATAAAATTTATTTCTGTCCTCACCAAACAAGAAGAACAAGAAGAATTGTTAATTGATTTAATCAGTAAAATTGAAAATCCTGAGCTAAAATCTGAATACTTAAGAAAGTTACGAAAAGTCATTAGCCAAGAAAGTCCAAGCCAGTCTGTTACCCAACCAATAAGTTTGAACACTACTTTAGAAAAATTTAATCGAAAGAAATATGTCACTCTGCAAGATCTGTAATTAGAAGTTAAAATAGTCAAAAAGGAGATAATTGAGTTGAAACAAATGAGTCACAAGTTGCAAGCTGAAAATTATGAAATAAAACAAGATTTAATAAATCTAATGGAAAAAGAAAGCTCTGAATCTAGGAGTCAACCAGAGAGTCCTAATAACTCAGATGTTGAACCTTCAAACAATGAACAAGCCATCAATCTAATCAAACACGTTAATTTCAGAAAATGGTATTCTAAAATTACAATATTCGTCAAAAAATTTGAGCTTAATATAGTTGCCTTATTTGATTCAGGAGCCGACCTTAACTGTATTCAGGAAGGTCTAATTCCCACTAAGTTTTTTAAGAAGTCTATATAATCATTAAGTATTGCTTAAGGAAAGTCACTCTAGTTGAACTATGAAATCCCTAAAGCCCATGTTTGCCAAAACATAATTTGCTTTAAAACTTCATTTGTCTTAGTCAAAAATATCACTGATGAAGTCATTTTAGGTTTACCGTTTATAGCCTTATTGTACATTTCCAGGTAGAATATGATGGTGTCATCTCTACTTATTTAGGAGAGTCAGTAAAATTTGAATTTCTAACTAAGCCTGAATTGCATATAATCTGAAAGCTCTAAAAAAAATTCAGTTTCGAAAACAGTCAAATTAATTCATAATAAAAATAAGCAATTAGTTTCCCTTAAAGAAGAAGTCAAATTCAAAAGAGTTGAACAACAGCTTAATAGTGAATCCTCACAATTACAAATTCAAAAGTTCGAAAATAAATTAAAAAATAAAGTTTGTTCTGATTTGCCTAACACTTTTTGGCACAGGAAACAACGTGTTGTTAGTCTTCCTTACATCAAAACCTTTAGTGAAAAAAATATCTCTACTAAAGCTAGGCCAATCCAAATGAGTCAAGAAATAATAGAGTTTTGTAAAACTGAAATAACTGAGTTGCTTCAAAAGGAATAATTCATAAGAGCAAGTCGCCTTGGTCTTGTCCTGCTTTCTATGTCCAGAAAAATGTTGAGTTAGAAAGAGGAGCTCCAAGATTAGTTATTAATTACAAGCCCCTTAATACGGTCTTGGAATGGATTAGGTATCCAATACCTAATAAAAGAGACTTAATCAATAGACTAGAAAAAGCAGTCGTTTTTTCTAAATTTGATATGAAGAGTGGTTTCTGGCAAATCCAAATAGACGAGTCAGATAGGTATAAGACTGCATTTGTCACTCCTTTTGGTCATTATGAATGGAATGTAATGCCTTTTGGTCTGAAAAATGCCCATAGTAAGTTTCAGAATATAATGAATGAGATATTTAACCCCTTTAGTCATTTCTCTATTGTTTATATTGATGATGTTCTAATCTTTTCCCAGTCGATAGAACAACATTGGAAGCATCCGCATATGTTTCTCCAGATAGTCAAACAAAATGGTCTAGTTGTTTCTGCCAAGAAAATCAAGTTGTTCCAAACCAATGTTAGATTTCTTGGTTTTAATATATGTCAGTCACAGATCAGCCCAATAGATCGAGTTATCCAATTTACAGATAAATTTCCATATCAAATTCTTGATAAGAGTCAGCTCCAGAAGTTTCTAGGATCTCTTAATTATGTATCCAATTTTTATCAAAATATGAGAAAACAATGTAAGCCTTTATTTGATAGGTTGCAGGATAATCCCTCCTTGGTCTCCTGTCCACACAGAAATTGTCAGACAAATCAAAGTCCATGTCAAGACACTCCCCTGTCTTGGTATTCCTTCAGTTGATTCCTACAAAATAGTTGAAACCGATGCCTCTGATATTGGTTCTGGAGATATTCTCAAACAGAGAGTCAACCCAAATCACCCAGAACAAATCATTCGCTTTCATTCTGGAATTTGGACCTAGTCGTAAATTTAATTATCGTACTATTAAAAAAGAAATATTATCCATAGTATTATGTATTTCTAAATTTCAAGATGATTTACTTAATCAAAAATTCTTATTACGAGTTTGTTGTAAATCTGCAAAGCATGTTTTAGAAAAAGACGTTCAAAACATTGCATCCAAACAGATTTTTTGCACGATGGCAAAGTATTTTGAGTATTTTTTTATTTTGATATTGAATTTCTGAGAGGAAGTGAGAATTCAATTCTTGACTTTCTTACTAGAGAATTCCTGCAGGATCATCAATGACACCCAAAAAAGACAAGCAAAAAGAGTTAGCTAGTCAACCTAGTCAGCCCAAGTTGTCCCAGTTGCTCAGAGTCCTTCCCTCTTCCATGAATGCAGTTAAATCAGAATCGCCCTCTCAAATCGTCCCTTTCCCAGGATGTTCTCCAATTCAAGTCAGAAATCGATTCACCAGTCTAGGAACCACAGTTCGCCAAATCCGCCCCAATTATCAATCTGCTCTAGTCTCCAGTTATGATCCATTCCAGATCACTCCCCCAGTTGCCCAATCCTCCCAGTCGCCTGCTATCCTCCCAAAGTCATCTCCTTATGTCCTCAAAGATAAGTCTCACGTCTTTATAATTGAACCAATTTATGGCGGCATTTCTGATCCCATTACAATTGTCAAATCTTATTTTCCTCCTAATTGCTATTTTCTTCCTCCCAGTCCTTACAAAAGTCTTTCCTTTTATAGGGACATTCTAGTTGAAACAAAATCAGTTGAAATCAAGCCCATAAAAGACCGAGAAAAACCTCAAGTAATCCTCTATCATTCCCTCTATATCCACAAAATACTAAGCCAAGAAGAATTCAATCGCCACCCTTATGTATTGAAACACCTCCAGTCCACTCATCCATACAACTATGCCGATTATATCGAAGCATGGTACTCCATTTTCCTTTACCAGAAAGTTGACTTCAGCCACTCTTGGTTCATCAATTTTGATAGTAAATTCAAGAGTCCATTCCCTTATTGGTTTCTTCATTGGTGGGAAAGCCATGGCCCAATAGCCAACATCCTCCCTACTAAAGTTCATAATTTGACCAATTATTTTGCCAGTAAATACAAATTTAATAAACAGCAGTTGTTTTTTCCCAAATTACTCCTTTTCATTGCCAGGTACAAGGTTCCCTGGATATTGAAATGGTCTTATCATGCAAATTAGGAATCCAGAATTATGTCTTGCCAATTTTCAGTCAAATGGTGGCATAAGTTCCAAGTTGACAAAATTGTAGAATATGTTTACAGAGATTTTCCCCATGCCACAAATTCTCCTAAGCCTCAGCCAGCTTCTCCTGTTAGTTATATTCATTCTTCTCTCTCAGTCGAGGGAAAATCGAAAGTCGAATTACAGGAAATTGCTCGCCAGTTGATTATCCAAGCCTCCTAGATGAATGATGATGAGGACAATGACAATGACAACTCACCTGCGTCTCAATCATCATCCAGCTGTCTTCCTAATTAGAGTCCTTCCCAACCACGTAGGTGGAGCGACTATCAAGATTCCCGAGACCCTTATGTAGCTTATTATTTGAATTATGACTAAGCTGCCGACAAGTCAAAGTTACCTAGGTGAAAGTAACCGTTAAAGCATTCAGTAAAAGCAGTCCAAAACTTTCTTATGCTTCAATAGTTATTATTCCCCGACAAGTTACCCAAGGAAAAGTTAAAAGTTGCCAGAGTTAAAGCTTCAGCTAGAATCCCGTGTTTCTACAGGAAGATTCTCAGCATTCTATGCCTCGATTAGTCTAGTTGCTTTTCTTATTTAAGTTGGCTATGACCTCAGTTGTAAGCAGGTTACAATTATCAATTGGTTTTTCAGTTTTCAAAGTTTTCTTTGAGACTCCCTCAAGAAAACTATCAATGTAAATTGTGAGTGCTATCTATTTATCAATAAGAGAAGACTTTTGTAAGTACAATACTTTCAAATTATGTTTTCAATTATTGCTATTTTCAGTATGTTCATTTATGCATTAATTTCAGTCATGCATAATCTCAAATTGTTTTATATTCTGTGTTTCTTCACTATCTCTGCCAATCCATCCTGGTTCTAGACCTTTTCATTATGAACCCTTCTGAGTCTGAATCTAAATCAGTAACAAGTATAGAATCAGAAACTAGTAATATTTCAAAAATGATGAGTTAGAAAGAGGAGCCCTAAGATTAGTTATTAATTACAAGCCCCTTAATAGGGTCTTAGAACGGATTAGGTATTTTGATATATATATATAAAGAACTGGGCTAAAGTCGAATCTCACGTAGGCAAAAAGGCCTAACCATTTTGATATTTAAAGATACTGAGTTTAGATTGGGCTTGGCTCCCTAATTCCAAATCTTGTGGGCTGGATCAAATCTTAAATATCCAGAATGGACTTTGGGCCAAGTCCGAACCAGTGAATCTCAAATAAGATGTAGCCCTCTTTTTATCTGTCAAAGTTTGGAAGGGAGTAGAGGAGGTGCAGTTGGGCTTTGAACCCGAGACTACTGATACGCAGACAAATACTCCTGAACTTTCTCAAGAAAGGTACATAATCTTTCTTAATATGAGAGAATCATGATCTCTCTTATTATGTGGTGAGGATTGTCAAGAGTAGCTCTACCATCAACGTAAGACAAACAAAGCACAGTTTAGTTGTGTTTTCATTATTGACAAGGAGATTTTAGTAAACTGAAGAGTTGAGTTTGCTAGAGGAATTTCCCTCTTTCTTTATATTGGATCCTGAGGTTCTTTAGTGTCTCCATCATTACTTGCTGAATGACCCCAATCATCTTGTCCACTCCCATTAAGAGTTTCATGATGATGGTAGTAATTCTAATTAGAGGACCTGAATTAAAGTCTCGAATGAATTGCCACCCGAAATACCATACCGACTATACCTATCTTTGACGAACATGTACCATAGAAACTAGCAAACTCCCTATCAGTTCCCATTACACATATCATTTCGTTTATCATATTACAGGCACCGTATCATTTCTCGATTCAGGTAACACTGGTCTTTTGCTGTGGCATTTCTATGCACAGTTAACTTTGTCATTCTATTTGATTGGAATTCCTTTTTGCTTGATTGGAATTCCCTGAACCCAAGTTAAGTACCACAAAAACTGCATGAGAACAAAAAAAAAAACCAGAGAAAAAAGAAGTAAAAGACAGTAACATAATTAGTCAAAGCACTTGAATGTTGTCTAGCTTGCTTTGTTGCACAGCTGAGCTTGGATCCACTTCATCCTCACCAGTCCCCATCTCCTCTGCCTGATAAGTTGAGTGAACACCATAGAACAGATAGAACAATGTTATCAAACATGCCCATACCGCAAACCGTTCGAATGAGAACTGCTTCAGTGTTGCCATGAGGAACACATTAAGAAAGATAGACAGTGCAGCAGGCCATGGCATGAAGGGCATTGACCACCCGGTGGAATGGCGAAGGCAAGGAACTGTGTAGTTGAAGAAGGCAATGATGGTGATCATAGACACTCCGAAAAGTGGTAGCCCCCAGCGTTGTTGCTTAAACTTCCATGACATGGAAAAGCCAATGGCACTAGATGAGAGGAGGAAGAGGAAAAAGAGAGTTTGAAATGGGGGGTTGTTGCTAATGGTCACATATCGCCGGTAAATGAGAGCATTGGCTACAAGGTAGAACACCAACAGCGTGCCGATGGAGATCATGTCTATCACTATTTCAAGGTCGGTGAAGAGTGCAATTGATGCTGTGCAAAGTCCTGCATCATAGGAAGAAAAAAGGATTCATCAGGTTGTCTCTGGTTTTATACTGTTTTTTCTTCAACTGTTTCTGTTTTTGTAGGATTTGATGAGAACTTAATTAGTGATGTTCATATATGAAGATATAATTGAGGGAAAAGAAAAAGAAACAAGAATAAGTGGGAATTTATTGACAAAATGAATGCATGTTTCACACCAATAAAAGCATAAATATATTAAAAGTATATATGAGTAAAGAGGGGGTATAAATTATTCTCTATGTTGTTCCCTCCATTTTGTGTAGCTTTGGAAGTGGAAACATACGTCAACCAAGGAAGTTTCAATGTTTTAGTTCTGTTTCCATAGCAATGTTTTGTTGTATACCAAGTCATATAATGGGAGATCAACTATTCCTATAAATTTAATTAATATGGATCCTTCAAAAAGATTAAAGGTAATGCATATAAAGAGTTGAACTCTTGTTGTAAGTGTTGAATAAGTGCTTGATATATAACTTGGCAGGTCATCTACCCACCATCGGAGAAATTTTTATATGCGTCGGTTATATATAAACTTAGAGTAACGCTACACTTATCACATTTTTATCCCGCATTTCTATACCACATGATGTGGCATGTCCATATTATATGCCACATCAATTAAATCAATGAAGTGTATTTTAATTAAGACAATTAGAAAAACAAATACTAGAATAAATCATAAAAGAAAAGAAAATATTAAATAATTTTAATTAACGTGGTTGTCCACCTCAGCTGCCACATAAGATGGTATATGGATGTGGTATATAAATGTGGTAAGAGTAGCATTATTCATAAACTTAACCTTCCACATAAGGATGTGTGATGAAAGTGACATTTTCTTATTGAAGGTAAAGCATTGGCTTTGAGAAAAAAAATACCATATAACATACATTTACATATTCATATTTTGATTTGAATGTTTTTGAAACAACTAATTTACTATCTACAAATATGAGTGTTCTATCTTGGGATGCAAATGGAATAATGATTCATGGATAAGCAAAGCAAGTATAAAATCATATATGCAAAGATTTACATAATTACCCAAGAAGAGGGTGGCATTCAAGGGTGTGCCTGTTGAAGGATGCACCTTGGCTAACCATGAAGGCACCAGCCTGGCCCTTCCAATAACACAAAGGTACCTAGCTTGGCCTAACATGGCAACCAAAAGTGAAGCCACAATCCCCAAGCTTGCACCTGCCCCAACCAGATTACTTGCCCATTCCCAACCAATCTGTCTGAAAGCCATTGAAAATGCCACATTCTCTGATATCTATGAACCATTTGAAGAATTCCAAATCATTAGGAAGAAGCAGTATTTGCTCAGAACAAAACAGTTTAGTTAATTGTGTCTTTCTACCATGTTTCATTCATAGCATTTTTGTGTATGTAGGCTAAAACATGCCGGTGTCTATATCAGAAATTTTTGGTAGAAAGTGTTCTTGCTAGTTCATTTGATGAAGTAACAAGTTCTTAATTACTTTACCTCGTTGTAAGGAACCATCAAACACAAGGACAAGGCCATAAGGCAGTAAAGCACGGAGGTGATGACAACGGAGCCAACTATTCCGATTGGCAAGCTCTTTGAAGGGTTTTGGATCTCTTCTGCCATGGTTGAAACTGAGTCATAGCCAATATAGCTCAAGTAAACTTTAGCTGCCCCATCAAGAACACCTCTAACACCATAAGGAGCAAGTCCTTTAGGCTTCACCAAGTTGTTGGTACTCCCTTTGCAGAAGCCAACAATTATGATAAATCCAAAGAAAACCACATGGAAGACTGTCATAACAAGGTTCAACAGGGAGCTTTCCTTTGTGCTGCAATCCCAAAAGAAATTAATATATATTTTAAAAATCCACTGAAACAAAAGATACCATCAGTTGATAACCCAATAACACTCAGGAAATTATTATCAACAGCAGAAATGGTGAGGGTTGCAATGATAATGTATTATAAAAAAAACTTGGCAACTGATAAAGAAGATATATATATATATATAACACTAAATAATCCAAATGCCCACCAACTCAATCCTAAAAAAGGTCTAGCTAGTTGCAAATTGTTGGGCACCTAGATTGTGAAAATAGGAAAGCAATATAAGGTAGAACAGTAGAATAATTAAGTAAGCAAATAAATAGGTAGGAACAGATGAAAACCTGTGGCAAAGGCAGAGAGTGAGAAGAAGAATAAGAGCAACAGCTGGGAAGTCCAACATATTATAGCCCTCTACCAAACCATCTACTTTTACTCTCCATGTCTTTGGATCATTTTCACCAAATGCAGAGGATATATAATCAGTAAAATTTCTTGCGACTGCAGCGTTTGACAATACGTACTCCATGAGTATATTAGCCCCAGCAAAATAGCCCACAAACTCACCTTCACATAAAAATGAAAGTAATTAAGAAAGCAGAAAATGAAGAATTGATATATTCAGCTAGAACCCTTATAACCAAATAGGGTAACAATGGATCTAATGGTTCATACCAAAGGTCAATCTGAGATAACTAAAGGCACCACCAGCAACTGGGATTTGAACAGAAAATTCAGTGTAACACAAGGAAGAAAGAAGGGCTGATATTCCTGCAATGATGTAGGATATGAAGACAGAAGGGCCAGATGTCTGGAAGGCTACTTGGCCTGTTGTGACAAAGACTCCAACACCAAGCATTCCTCCAACACCAAGGGCAATCAAATCATACCACTTGAGTTTCCTTTTCATGTCTGCCCCAGACCTTTGCCTCACTTGGTTGAGCTCTTGGTCAGGGGTCCATGTGGCCAGCATTCTCTTCCTAAGCCTGTGGGGTGTTTGAGAAAGGGAATGGAGATATTTTGAGAAGCAAATGGTGGTGGTGCTGTTGGGTGCAGAAGTTTGGGTGGTGGTGGCGGTGGAGGTGGCCATGTTTGTGTAACAATTAAAGAAGTGTTTTGGCTTCCATGGGACACTGGGTGTGAAGGTTTAAATATGCATTTGGGAGATGATATATTGCTTGATTCTTTCACTAAAGGTTGATATGTGAGAACCCAAATTAGTGTCCCCACCTTTATTGAAAGCATGCACCTAGTTTGCCCTTGGCCTTATTGAAAATGACAATTAAACCCTCCTCTCTCTCTCTCTCTCTCTCTCTCTCTCTCTCTCTCTCTCTCTCTCTCTCACACACACACACACACACACACATACAGAAACACACATATAGTACATACTTAATGCACATATACAAACAGCTTTTGAGTGTCCCAAGAAGTACCTTCAAAGAGGTTCTTCTGTTATGGGAGAGAGCATGCAGAAAAAGGTGGAAAAAAGGCCCAGCCATTTTGAAATGAGCTTTGAAAGAGGAATCATAGTGTGAAGATTAGAAGGGACTTTGACCCAATCTTTTCCTTACCAGAAACTTTGAAAAGATGTGACAAGCATCCATTCACACTTTGTTAAAGCAGCTAAAGGTTTCCTCTCACAGTGTCAAGAATAAATGGACTTGATTCCTCAACAGAATATATAAATATGTTGTCATGCACAGTTGCTGCTGATACAGTTGTAATGTACAGCATCCAGAAGATATCCATGTATTTTGGAGCAATAGACATGTTAGTGCATTATTATTGATCAATATCTGTTTTTTATTTTTATTTCTTGGTCTTGATATGCTCTATCTTAGATGATCAACTCAAGTTAATGGAGCGCTGTGTTTATAGTCAATTTAAAATTCTGTTTAAGGTGCCAAACGAGTGGTGTTTGAGTACTCTTGTAAAACCGAGAGAAAGAAAGAGAGAGAAGCAGAAAAGAGAAAAGAGAGAGAGAGAGAGAGAGAGAGAGAGAGAGAGAGCTTTTTCCAACCAGTTGTCTTAATATTAATTTTGTTAAGAGTATTATTCCATATCGGAAAAGTAAAGCCTACAATATATAAGATTTTAGACTTCTCCACCCATTATAAATTGGTTTTCGATTGAATGCTCAAATTCTATTGAATCCAAACTTATTAGTCTACCATTTTGAGGTATTAAGCTTTGTACACATTTCATAACATATACTTTTCAAGAAAACATATAATAATAAAGTCTTTTTGAAATAATACAAGACTAAATACTCATGAATACATAAGTCATCAGAAACTTCACAAAATTAAATACAATATATAATAACATCGAGGTCTTTTATATAAAACTCCACACATGTCCTATTATAAAGATGATTAAGTTATCGACAGTATCGGTGATGATAGTAATAAGATGCAAATATGTTACCTAAAAGCCCCCAAAGAATATAGCCATTATTAACAATCATTCGTGGATTTCTCATTGGCTTTCAAATTTTCGCTTGCTCTTACTTTAATTACCTTTTCTAGGCTATTAGTCCCATAGCTAGCTCTAAGGTTTACAATCCTGGGTTTAGTGCCACTAATTTTTCTAATTTCTAGCAGGTATATTCTACTTACTAGATGAATTTAATCTCTGTGCCCATCATGTCCCTTTCAAGCACAAGCTTCTCATCTTAAGGTTGTGAGAGAATTTGGCTCCCTTCAACCTATAGGAGTTCGTCAAATTACTTTGCTAGCAGCTCAAAAGGCTTTATGTAGCTTTCAGCAATAGAAAGTGGATGCATGGGAATCTGTTTTAGCAGTTGACGGTTAAATAAATAAAACAAATTAGGGTTTAAGTGGTGCCCTAGCTATCATCACAATGTGAAGATTATCTCTTCTCTTGTTTGTTTGTTTTTCTCTCTCTCATATTCTTTTGTTGTGAACAAAGTCAAAAAGAATTCTCTTTTATGTGAATCAAATCAAACATATATAGGCATATAGGGATTGAGGATTAAGAAGACGAACAGAATTAGCATTATTATCCACTTCAAGTCATCATAGCTAATCTTTGTTCCCCGATTTGAAAGGCATCGATAGCTCAAGAATATTTGGTTGGGATTAAGTGGTCCATTTTGCATATATATACACACGTCACAATGTTATACTACAGAAGATATTGCATTTGCAGGCAACTTTCTGTCAAAAGTCTAGATGGATTTGGTGAGGAGGTTACATCAGCTATAAGCTTAGGCATGTACCACTTGAGATATGTACTTATCAGGAATATATATATATATATATATATATATAGTCATATCATATTGCTTAAATTAGTGGTTATCTAATTGCTAATTAGACTTTCAAAAAGAGAAATCATTACAACTATATAAATTTGATGTAATTTGTGAAGGTGTACATCCAAGTAAATTGCAAGGACCTTCCAACAGCTAATTGAAGATCATATATACAAGCAGGGCAAGTTTATTATAAATTTAATTAGTCGATGCAACTTGAGCTCGATCGTGTCAGCTCGATTTTTTTTGCTCATTCCAACTTGGCATAAAAGAAACAAATCAAACCAAACCAAAGCTCGATAGAGTTTGAACAACCCAAGCTTAAGCACTATGATATTCGCCTCGGTCGGCTTGTTTAAACTCCTGCAAATAACTAAGCTCTTTTTAGCACTTAAATTTACTAAATCATCATTAATTCCTAATGTGGGGTTACTTATTCTTTGTATGAAATTTTCTAACAACCCACTCAGAGCATCATTGTTAGTACTCGCAGACAATTTAATGTTGGACAATAATTCCTTAAAATTATCAAAGAATGAGTCAACAATGTATATCAAATATAAATCATGTGACATGAAAGAGCTATAAATCTTACTATATTAAACAACCGGTAAACCCCAAAATATTGCACTTTCGAAAAATAGTTAGACAATGTATATCAATCTAACACTTAAATGATACAGCGTTCGTAAAAGTTACTTTGCCTCTTGTCTATGACATTGCCCCCTTGCCTGCCCCATGCACATCCCAATAAAAAAATTCAGAAATTAAATAGAGTTAACGATTTGGTTTTAATATTCTAAAGCATTTGGTCATACATTGTATGAAGTATAAACTGAGATTAAAGAGAGATTAGGGTACAATTTGTGCCACTAAACATTTATTGGATTATAATAACACATCACAATGTAGTAGGCATAATCACATAACTATAATAAGAAAAGCATTAAAAGAATGGAATTTTTCTTATGCTTTTCAATGTGATTGGATAGTGAAGTTGCACTCAGAAGGGTGGTAGGAAGCAGTGGGAGCCTTTTGCTTTCGATATTTTCTCAAGTGGGTCATCCATTTTTCCATTGACCTCATTCCTCACCTCTCCTCCATAGTGAGTGTGGCCAATGTCCCTTCTTAGAGTTTTTTAATGCCAAAGGAACCTTCGTATATATATATATATATATATATATAGGGTCCTCCTGTTATACTTGAAAAGTGCTTTGTTTTATACATCAGAAGAGACAATATATAATAGTAATAAAAAGGTGGAGAAAAAGAATAGTATAAGGTCGCCTATGGAGGAACAAAATGCCTTTCTTTGAGGGAAGGAATCAACATGGATAATCCTTAATTAATAATTTCCTTTTGCGTACTCTTACTAAGGTGTAAGCTTTCTAAGGTATTCGTACATTTGAGGATATAATATAATGTTGGGCTGATTTTATGTTGGCAGACTATGTCAATCGGGATCATTTGATCAGATTGTTTTGCCACAATGTGTAATTCAGATTCACAATTTGACAATTTGGCAAGAGAGCACTACTCATGCTTCTTTATAATTTCTTTTGACATTAACTATAGGCCTTGGATTACAAATTTAAATGCGCTTTATATCTTTATAGCTTTTGGGGGTTAGTATTAAGCACCGACTAATGCCAAAATAAGTAGAAAATCCAATGGAGATAGATGGGGGAGAGAGAAAGAGTGCCCTGGCTACTACATAGGATATGATTGAGAAGGTGAGGAAGGTGAGGTTCATTATTATCCGGTTGATTTGGACATGCCAACCCTAGACACAGGCTATTGGTTTACAATAATCAATAAACACGAATAAGTATAGAAAGCGAAGTTTGTTAGTAAAGAGGATGAATAAAGATATAGAAACCAGAAAGCAAAGTTTGTTGAGTAGAGATGATATTATGAGAGAGAGAGAGAGAGAGAGAGAGAGAGAGAGTAAGTTCCAATATATATGAACAAACTCAAGCATGATCGTAGCAACCAGGCTTTTTCTAGGGGATGTAACATGAACTCCACTTTTTTTTTTTCTTTTTAATGGAGAGTAACAACCTGAAAAAGATCACTAGATGAACAAACATTGATCGATGCCAGTGAATGGCCATTGGCATCAATGACACAAAATGAGGTGGCTAAATACACTAGATATAACATGGACGTACGATTATTTATGTCTATTGTGCTATTAGACACTAATTAATAAGACTTTTAGCCACCTCATGTGTCACTGATTACGCGCTCTTAATGTTTATTGCCAATATTATATATGTGAAAAAAATATATACATGAAAGCATCCCACTGAATAAGGTTGACATTATATGTTTATCATAAGTTAAACCCAACCTGTCTTATGTCTTTAGTCTCCGTGATATGAGTAGCTAGCTAGCTAGCCTAATCTATATCCTTAATAGCAACTAAGAAGGAAAGCTTTTGATTTCCTAAACTAGGTCTCCATTTACTTAAAGACAAAAGCTTTTCCTCTTTTCTAGTGCCATCATATAAATCTTTATACGATCTATATGGATTTAAGCCGCCAGTGTGATTTGGATATATTAATCCATGGTCGTATATATCATAATATCGGGGAAAACTAAAAGCATTTGATCGGATATGATTATAAGCTCATTACCCTAATCTTTTTCTACCATCAAAAGCCGATATTCAGGGGTAGAAAGTAGATCACGAGAGGCCTCAACGCAACCCAAATTCTCAAAAACCACTAGCTCTTTGTTGAATTTTGTTCAAAGATTCCTAGGGGGTGAAGCTCGTGGGGTTAATTGATTATTCTTTGGAACTTTCA